AAATAAAAAAAAAAATACACACACACACACACACACACACACACACACACACACACACACAAATACCGGGGGGTGGGGGGAGAAGATATAACAAATACAATTACTTGAAGCTGATACAAGCAAACAGAAAGGACCTTGTGGGGGGGGGAGGAAAGGGTGGAGGGAGGGAGGTTTTGGTAAGGGGCAACAATAATCAACCACAATGTATATCGACAAAATAAAATTTTAAAAAATAAAATAAAAAAATATACTGATAACTCAGCCTCTATTGTAGCAAGAAGACACGTTCCTTGAAACTTATCCATCACATAGCATTTTAATGCTTTTGCTCATTCTTTTCCCAGAGATGTGCAAATGAAATTCATTAGCTTAAAATAAAATAACTGCAAATGTATTAATTCCTCACCAACCCCAATCCCAATACCCAACAAATCTTTACCACAGCAAATTAGATACCAACTGCTAAAGGGAGAGGGAAAAAAATCACATTCTAACAGACCATACAACTTTAGACACCAGCTCTCATAACTTGGTACATTCAACCATATATGAATACACATTTCCATGTAAGTAGTACTACTGTAGATGTTAAGCTAGTTGATTAAATGTTTATAGGATGATTTAAAAAACACACACACAACTGAAAATTAACTGTTTCTTCTTATATTAATATACCAGGACTTGATATAATAAAAAATATATGCAATGCACTTGACTCACGCACAACCATAATAAATACTCTTGGGTAATCTTCAGCCTGAAACAAGCCTTCATTTATTGACTACTTACAGTACAGTGATTTTGTATCACAGCTGGTAATCAAAGATAGTTATATATTAAGTGAGAGAAGACATTGTCTCTCTTCCAGATATCTCTTCTCAGGAATCTGGGCAAATTCAGTTTTAAGAACTAGAATTATATCTCCTGGTGGCAGCCGTCACCCTGAAGACAGGAACAAGGCAAAGAAAGTATACAGGACTTTGATTCTCCTACACAGGTGCACATAAAGTTAGTTTATTAATGACTACATTTTGAAGCCAGCCATTTTGTCCAATATTTAAATAACAAGCTGTTTAATATTAAAGCAGGAGATACTGCCACAATGTGACAGAAGTACAGCTTTATCCATAAACCCTTCACACAATTACACATTAAATGCTACTATTTTTTGTATTTAAGCAAGACACCCCTACTTGTTCTAAAATATGGGATGTACTACCCCAGTGAAAAAGCAAATGAGGAGACAGATTTTTTCCTATCTATCTAGAGCTGGTTTAAATTCAAGTGAAGCCATTAATGTCCTTACCAGTCTGGACTGTTTAGACATGTCACTTCACAGTTTTGAGACTAACAAACACCTTTAAAGTTTACCCAACACCAAAAAAAGAGGGGGGGAGGGTTCAGACAACTTTTAAGTTGAGACTAGAATTCTCCTTAAGTAGACAGGAACCAAAGTTAAATGTTTTAAGCCTTTAACACAAGGCTTAAAAAGTCAAAACATTTCTAAAGACATAAAACTGCCAAACTGTTGTCATTTACACGCACTAACCTGTGTTATTCATTTTTTGTTTTGACTTTCCTTTTTAAAATTCCTAATCCTATTTAAGTAATCAAATACAGCTAAAATTGAAACTACTCTGCCAAACCATACTGGATCAAAGGTCTGAAACCTTTCTTTGCTTTGGTGAGTATTTGGTTAAAATAAATCATTATTTTACTCCATGAGAAGTTTTAAATCAGAGCTCTCAATTCACAGGCAAAAAACAAAACCTTGAACAGATTTTTTTTTTTTAAAATGGGAGAAAGATTTTAAAGAACAGTGCTAAGTAAAAATATGTACTCTTTATAATGGGTAATATCCTCTATGAAAACAAACTGTTTAATCATATAAAATGAAGACCAGATTTTTAAATCAGATCCTGGACAGTTTAAACAAAAATTTTAATTTGTGGTTTATTTCATAATCCCAAACTCAATCTTCTCTTTCAGTCCTCTACGAAATTTTTCTCAGAAGCAATGAACCCCCAAACCCCAAAATCCTTTCTCTAGCAGTTCCTGCTAATAAACTGGAACTTTATATCCGATGTCCAAGAAAGATGTGCAAATGAAATGCTTCTTGCTTCATCCTGAAAATAAGACAAAACAAAAATGTTTCACGTTTACTCAAAATGAAAAAGAATCACAAATGTTCCCATACCATTTAAAATTACAAACTCAATATTTTTTTCTTTCTGGCTTAGTGCAACTTATCTGACAAATCAGTTAAGGTGAGGAAAATTAGTTAGGCATTAGTGTTTGCAGACTGGTATGAAGATGGTAGATTTTCAGAACTAAGCACAGAATATATTTTACACAGACTTTAGCTAATATAAATATTTAACATCATGGGGTTGTGGAAACTTTATATCCAAAAATAGCCTATGACATCTATAGTAATAGAATGCCCCATGTGTTTTAAAGAAATCATTGGTTAAGTATCTCAAAAGAATGCACCACTACCAGTCGAAAAATGATTACAATACAATATATTAAAATACTTTATGGGGAAAAAAATGACACTACAAATTTAGTCAGGGAAAGGGATATCAAGACATATTTAGCAAATTTGTCAGAGGTTAAGTTAACACTATAAAACCATGTACTTCCTAAGACAAAAAAAAAACATTTCATAACATCATTTTAAGAAAAGGAAATAGTGGCACATTAACTGTGCATATCCATGATAAATCCTAGTTTCGAACGTATCATTTTAAACATCTTAAAAACATCTTAGAACTAAGGAAATGTGTTTAAATCTTAGTGGGAAGGCTAATGCAAAGCACATTCACAATGTATTACAATTTATATATACTAAAGGTAGCTATAAACCTATTTTTAGGCACATAGCATGATGAATGATGGAAATTATGCATAAACATTCTACATGAGGATAATGATCAAAGCCACTAAACAATCATAATGAATTCTATTTCCCAGGAGAAGTTTCATTTCTTACATTGATGTTTCAGTTATAATGATTAGTTTGCTCTTTATTAAAAAGAGAATAGTTTCTACCATATTACAAATTAGTAGGTTGATGATTATTAATTTATCAATTGAAAATAATTTCTACAGTTGTACCTCTTAAATTTACCTTATTATCTGGAGTCTCTGGAAATCTTATTTTCCTTTTGGACATGAATTCAGGAACAGTTCAATATATCTATGGTCTGAGAATTAAAAAAATTTTTTTTAAAGATTAGTTTTAAAAAGTTGAAAAGGCATTAGGGCTGCCCAGTTAGCTCACTTGGTTAGAGAGTGGTTCTAATAACACCAAGGTTAAGAGCTTGGAGATCCCCACACTGATCAGCTGCCAAAAAATTTTTTTAAATAAAAAAAATTAAAAGTTGAAAAGGCAGAAAAAATATATTGGGAGCCATTTTTCTCATAATTCAGACAGCAACTCGAACCCTTTGCTCTTCCTATTTCTAATTAAAAACGAAAACAAAATCAAAAGACAGACGAACAAAAAAAGCCTACTAACTCTGGATAGAAATATGAAGTAAAAGAGTAGACAAATAAATGCTGTTCTTTTATAATACAGTGTTTTATCCTTTACATTTAACTTAGTAGTATCAAAAGAATACAATTTTTCCATTGAAAAATTCTAGGCCAATCCCCAAACAGAGAAAGGCATCTATAAGCAAAGACAAGCATCAAAAACAATGAGGGCTGGACTTTAGCTGTTGGTTAGAATACAGCCTTGTAACACACCAAGGCCAAGGGTTCAGATCCCGACACCAACAATGAAAACCATGGGCAGTACTTACGAACGTGGGACCGATCCTTGAGCATAGCTGCAACAGCGTCCTCATGGGTATCAAAGTGCACATCAGCTTCACCAGTGGCTTTCCCACTGGAACTGTATTCCATGGTGATTCTAACAGGCTTCAGTGGAGCAAAAAACTAAACAACAAACAAAGGCAGCCAAAAGGAACATAATGGAACTAGGGCCAACTTCTAGAAGTCTGGTGGTGGCTCTACATTTCTTTCAAACTTTGATTCATACACCTGATAAATTTGTTTTTAGGAAATCTCCTGTTTAAGCAATAAAGTTGGTACACATCTACCATCTCTTCTGGCTTTCCTAAATTTTCTTAGAACTCAAGGTTACACTTCAAATATCTGTTCTCAAAGAACCAAAAACTACAAATACAATCACTATACAAATGGTTCCCAAACAGTTTTTTAAAACCAGCCAGGACCACTTTTATTATTCCTCCTATACACATCCTTCCCTGTTTCTAAAGAACGTCCATCAAATATACTACATTTCTTAATAATTCATTTTTCCTATTTTTAAACCAGACATCTACCTGATAATCAAATTCCTATTAGCATTGCATAAACAGAGCTACCACACCAAGTGGTTTTCATCCCAAACAAAAGTAATAGAACATAATGCTTTAATGAGAATGTGCAACTGTCATTTGAGTAAAGATATGATTCCTTTTAGGCTTTTGAAAGAATCATGACATCTCTGAGACCATTATCAACTGAAGACTATAGGTTTGGATCTACCTTAGCCATATGTTCTCAAGTTCATGAAATCAATAAAGGATTTGTTTTTTGGTTTTTTTTCATTTCATATAGTATCTGTTATAAAATGAAAACATATTTTAAATTCATTTTCTCAAAAACTAGGGAAGCTGTTGCACAACAGCTACACAGTGTCTCATGAAAACTCTAGGCATTTAGAAGTACTAGATTCTTGTCTAGTATGTAACAGCTCTGTGACCAACTGCCCCTGAGTCTCAGTTTCCTAAACTAAAAAAATGAATGGATTTAACAAATTCTAAAACCAAACTTTCTTTCTTTGAATACTAAACCTACACCATACTATTTTGAATCTATAAAATCCTCTTATCCTTTCTGACTTTAAAATGTTATAAAAAGCCACACTTTTCAGCTACTGAAAGTAAAACAAGCCTCTGCAACCAGAGAGATGCCATCTTACTGTTCAAAGATACTCCAGAAATACTCTGTTTACTTCTCTACCTTCCCCAAATTAATACAAGTTCAACTTTAGAACTTTTGTTCAAACCGATTGAGATTAGATATCTTACTGCCACACACATTTATAATGTCTTGGGCATTGGCTTGGAAAGGCAATCCCCTCATGTGGACAAAATGGAGTGAAGGCGTAGTTCCAAAATCAACAGCTTCTGGAAGTTTTTCTGGCATATCCTTAGGCAATTCTGAAAGGTGGAACAAATAGCACTGTCAAAAATATAAAAGCTTCAAAAGTTATTAACAGATTATAATTAAGTTTGAACTTTATGTCAAAATCCTTAATTCTTCTTGAACCAGTAACGAAGGCCTACAGAAACCAAAATGATCTGAAATTTCTACTACTTAGTATCACCTGAACACCCATAAACATTTAGTACCTCAAACCATTACTAGATTTAAGACTTGTCTTTTTGTAACAACAAAGAGAAAGTTAAATGATTATGAATTAAATATGTGAAAGCAAGAGAAACTTTCTGGGTTACAGGGAACAAAAAAATAATCATCATCCTCCCAGGGCACCAGTTAAAAAAGTATTCAAACTTCAAAGATTCCAAATGTTACTTTGGAATTAGGAATCAAAGAAATAATTAAATCCAGAGACAAACAAAAATCCATACTTTAGTCAATATTCCTACTCTTTACTGAAATCTTTCCCCTTAGTCTTTCCCCTTAGTTTAAATGTTGACATTTTACTTCCTTTTATTACATTTTTACTTTTGATATAGTCTACAAAATGATTAAATTAAAAACCTAACAAAATAATTAAGCTCTTCTGCATATATTCAAAGTACATACCACACTCAAGACATATTAAATCTTTAACTCAATTCCCTTGTCTTACAATCTTACAATTTCATACAACATGGTCATGAAAAAATCTTTTTAACAAAAACCATATTAGACCCAATGAGTCTAGAGAAGAGGCAGGACCTTACCTATTTCCTTCTCACTTTCAAAAGCTGTCATGGGTCGAATATCCTCATTTACTTCATGTTCTTCAAAGACCATTTCTGGCTCAGTTATATACTTAGCAGTAGGAGAAGATGTCATTTTCTTTCCCTTATGAGAGCCAACATGTGTTCTAACTTCATTCCTTCTGCTTGGAAATATCTCTATATATCTATATCAATAAGCAAAAGTGAACAGGCACAAATGATGCAAAGTAACTTTACACCAAACTCATTTAAAATAAATACATATATATTATATTTACAATAGCTTATTGTAAATAAGGTGTCCAAAGATAACAGGTAGAGGCAAAGTAATAACAGACATAGATATTGCCCACGAAAAAATACTCTTGTCAGAGTAGGTCACTGATTTAATCTTTCTGCCCCAAGATAACAGTTTTCTTCATATACATCTTAACAGTATTTTCTACCCTGTTTTCCTTCATGAGAATAACTATGCTAAAGTGAATTGTGTATGTAGATAAGAATCTGGTAAGGTTTATTTATTTATTTATTTTACAGTTGATTAGCAATCTCTTGAAGCCTTCCAATTCAATTCTGTGAAAATTAATCATATCTGTATAAGATAACAAATCATAAGAAGAGCTAACTTCCCCATAACATTGCTAAGAGACTAATGAGAATTCAAGAACTAAATGTCAATCTGACCTGTTATCATAGAGGCAGTGGGACTACCTACTAAATCTAAGCTTCTGAAACCAGTTTTCTTTTTCTCAATGTTGCTTTTCCAAACTATTATTAAAAGTGAGTTCTAAAAATTATTTGTATGTTCAGATCTATAAAGATGAGATGAGCACTTCTTTTTGTTGTTTTGTTTTCTAAAAAGTTTACTTTTGATTATACATATTTATGAGGTAGAGTTGACAGAGTATTTGTGTACAGTATGTGATAATCAAATCAATATTATCAGCATGTTCATCATTACAAATCGTAATAACTCTTCATGTCTCTTACCCAATTACTCCTTAACCCTCCTCCCTCTCCCTCTCTCCCACCCATAATAACTATAGGTCTGTTCTCTCTTTCTTTTTTTTTTTTAAAAAGATGACCGGTAAGGGGATCTTAACCCTTTACTTGGTGTTGTCAGCACCATGCTCAGCCAGTGAGCTAACCGGCCATCCCTATATGGGATCCGAACCCGGAGCCCTGGTGTTATCAGCACCACACTCTCCCGAGTGAGCCACGGGCCAGCCTGTTCTCTCTTTCTGAAAGTTCAACATTTTATTTTGGTCTTTCTTTGCTCTCACTTATGAGTGAGGACATGTGCATATCACAATTTTTTTAAAAATTTTTTTCTTATAAGCATATTTATTCTTTCAAATTGTGATATTTCTTTATGCTCTTTTCCCAACCTATCACTTTCCAAACCCCCTCCCTAACTCCCCCCCGATCTCTAGTATCCTTAGGTTGGTTCTCTTCTGAAAGTCCAACGTATTGTTGTGGTCTTTTCTCTTTCCTTCATTCTTTCTTTCTTCCCTCCTTCTCTCTTTCTTTCCCTCCCTCCCTTCCTTCCTAACAGCCAGTTATGAGTAAGAACATGCGGTATTTCTGTTTGTCTGGCTTATTTCACTTAACATAATTTTCTCCAGACTCATCCATGTTGCTGCAAATGGAAGAATTTCATTCTTCTTTATGGCTGAGTAATATTCCACTGTGTATATATACCACAATTTCTTTATCCAGTTGTCCACTGATGGACACTCAGGTGGGTTCCATATTCTGACTACTGTAAATAGAGCTTCAACGAACATGGGAGTGAAAGTATCCCTTCAACATGATGATTTCCATTCCTTTGGATAGATACCAGTTAACAGGACTGCTCTATCTGTAGTTGTTTGAGAAACCTCCATGCTGTTTTCCATAATAGCTGAGCACCACTTCTTAAAAAAGATATTTGAGGCCGGCCCCGTGGCGCACTCAGGAGAGTGCGGCGCTGGGAGCGCAGCGATGCTCCCGCCGCGGGTTCAGATCCTATATAGGGATGGCCGGTGCGCTCACTGGCTGAGCACAGTGCGGACGACACCAAGGCAAGGGTTGTGATTCCCTTACCGGTCACGAAAAAGACAAAAAAAAAAAAAAAAAAGATATTTGAACAAATTTTAAAAGTACATCCTGAAATACACTGGCTGTGGAATGACTGATTAAAAAAAAAATAACTCCAAAGGAGCTAAGAAAAAAGGCCAGAAAGCAGCAAAATAAGTGACTTAACATTAAAAACTTTTTTAAATTTTTGACTGTACCTCCAAAATTAATGTTGAAATAAAATAAACCCACTCATCATTATGTGTATCCTGATGTAATGTGAACATGAGACACTATACACGACAACTGACCCAATTTCCTCAAGTCAATAGCATTTAAAAAGGGGGAGGGAATAAAAAAATAAAGAAAGGGATTTGCTCTCCTTTAAGAGAATTTGAAATGTAACAATCAAATGCAATGCGTGGATCTGTTTGGATTCTGGCTCAAACAAATGAACTGTACAAAGATATTTCTAGTATTATTGGGAAAATGTTATTATGGATTGTTATTAGATAATAAATTATTGTTAATTTTGTTAGATGTAGTAATATTGTGATTGTGTAGGAAAATGTCTTTTTTTAAAGATGCATACTGAAAAAACAGATGAAACAAATATAACAAATGTTAATGATTTGTGTATCCAAGTGATGGGTACTTGACAGCTCATCATACTATTCTCTCTACTTCCCTATTTGGATAATTTTACAGTCATATTACACAGCATTCATCAAAACGACTTGATGTGTGATGCTTCTGCATCATTAGTATCTGCTTTACTCACCGGTTACCAATTTCTTCCCTGTGTTTCAAGAGGGCTTGGTTGGCCATTTCTGGTTCTTCAAACTGCACATAGGCTTCCCCTGTTTTTCTTCTCCCTCGATAGTCCATCACAAAAGTAATGTCTACTATATTCAGTCCTAGCACACCAATAAATTAATATGAATTAGTGCTAATAGGAGCGCTTTCTAATCCTAAGAATTAACACATTTCACTCACACATTAGTAAAATTTTTATGCTGTCTCGCCAGTCCCAAAACTGGATACGTGCTGAATGGGAAGAAAATTATCATGCAGCCAAAAGTTAATAACACCTACATACCCGTAGTTCCAGAATGTTTAGGGTCCATGCAGACCACATAAAACACACAACTCTCCTCACCCCACTTCTTTGCCATTAATTATATTAGGAGACACAGAGATTTAGAATAACATCACTACTAACAGTGCATATTTTACACCTAAGAATTAGATAATGCGTTTATATCATAAAATTATTACTGTCTTAGGCAAATATGGACACTATTATGAGATTTTTTTTCAATAGTAAAGCAAATCCTTGTAAAATTATTTTGAAATTTGACAATCCCCAAAGATCTGCCTGATAGATCAAAACTCTTACAAAATCTATTAATACTGGAAATTCGAGTCAAGAGCTCTCCCCTAAATAATCTAATTTAAGTGCATGCTGTTACCTAGGAAAAGGCTCATCTAATGTATAGGAGATAATGAGGTAAAAATGGGGGAGAAAAGATATGAGGCCCCAAACATGATATAACTGCAAAGCACCTGCAAAGAAGTCTACAATGTCTTTCTCATTGCAACTATAAGGAAGTCCTCTCAAACGAACCACGCCATCATTTACCACAGGTGAAGATTTGACCTGTAGGCTCTTCATTAAGGCATCCACATCTTCATTGTTTATCTCATAAACTACAAAGAAAAAGCACAAAAGGGATGCAAAATTTACGTAACAAAGGAAGAAGCCAATTTAAAAAAAAAATCAAATACATCATCACTTGGTGCATTATCCAAGAATTCAAAACTAAGAGTTTTAATCTTTATGCATTTCTCTCAAGAAAACAACAAATGACATTTATTGAATACTTACTATGGGCCAGTCATAACTCATTTAATCCTCACAATTTGTAAGATAAACTTGGTCAACATACTCATTTTATACATAAGAAACAAGATTATATCTCTATGCTTCATTTTCACAAGCTGTAAAATAATACATTCATAATATCTAACTACATCATTATTGTTAAGGATCAAAGGAAAACTGCCTCGAGAAGTATAAAACCTATGCAATGATCCCCAAAAGGCCAGAATCCGACTTTACATACCTTCCACGTAACGCTGACCCATGTACATGCGGTGCTTCTCTAAGGCTTTTTGCACATCCTGCTCTGACTCCATTTCAATTAAGGCATCACCCCTTCGTTTCCCATCTCTATTTAAGAGGAAATGTATTCCATTCCCAGCATTGCGGATTCTGCAGTCTAAAAGTATATGAGTAAAATAAATTAAAAACAAAATCAAACTTTTAGCTCAATTATAGAAGTTGCCGAAGTTGCCAGAATTCAATTTTCCAACAACAAAGCAAGAACCAAAATGCCTGTCATATTCCTTTCACAAACACCAGCCACTGAATGCTAACAAGGTAATAGTCTCTAAAATGTTCCAAGTAGAAAAGATAAGCAAATCCTAGCACATAAACTCATGATCTCCTTAGCACTGAATGATAAATCAGGGTAGGCTCAACACAAAATGCACTATGTCCATTCCAATGTTTCTACTATCAGTTTTAAATCACTTAAGAATTAAAATGTGGTTAGGTTTATACAAAGTGTCTTCATTTAAACTCATATCCAAAGGACTCTAAAATATTTCCTTTAAGAATAATTGCTACTATAATTTAACTTTTCCCCCTTTTCATTACCAAGAGGAAAGACATCCCTATACTTCATACTTCTTATAATGGGAGTAAGCTGAAGACGTAAATCCCAAGTAGCTTTATAAAATACTTGACCCACACAATGCTATGCACTTTAAGGTAGTTAATACATTCAGTTACATCCTTTTATAACAAGTTAAGGTGGCATTTTCTAAAAGCCTTTTAGGAGAAATATTAAAAATCACAGTCAGAAACAAACTCAAAAACAGGCTGACCAGTTAGCTCAGGTGGTTAGAATGTGGTGCTGATAACACCAAGGTCCCAGGTACGAACCATGTACCAGCCAGCAGCCCCCCGTCCCCCACCCCAGAAAAAGAAACTAAAAGGCTAACTCCAGATTGGTAAACTTTCCAAACATGTTATTAAGAGAACCTAATCACTTGATAATAAGTGATTTTGTATTATAAACATATGGATTACATAAAGAGTATGGGATAACATTAATCCCATACTTCCACTAAGAGGTCTTACTTTTTGATTTGTATATATTAAATCATCAGAGAAAACTGGATTCATAACATGCAGTTTTAACATTAAATACTTTTGTTGCATTCAAAGTGTCTTTAAATCCGGTATTTACCAGAAATGGTGCACATGGTATCACTTGGTATGAATACATAACCTGCAAAATGAGACAATTTCTAACCAAAGATGTCTACAGCTTAGCCCGACTTAAATTTTGTGTAGCTACCTTTTACTCAAAATTACATATTTAAAACATACATAAAATATACCTGAGAAAAAGTTAAGCACATCTTCCACAGTACACGACCAAGGCAATCCTTGAGCTCGAATGAGATAAACATCATCCACTTCCTCTCCTAACTTGGACCGGGCCAATTCATACTCAGGGAGTGGTGGAAGGTCTTCCAGGTAGGTAGTTTTGGACTCCTTCCAAAGGAAATTTTAAAAAATGTCAAAATACTTCTTTAACAACCTATTTAGAAAATGTTTATTTCTACAAATTAAAACTCTGGATGTTAATATTATTTCAGAGGCAAGGGGTTAACTGCACAAATCCAACTCATCCTGTTTTGACTTTAATTGTACATCCTATAGCAGTTAAGTATATCTTAATGGTTTGGCAGGACATAAATTTTACTCAGGGTTTGTTTTTAAATTCACCAACCCCAAATTATACCTAATAATAGTGTTTAAGACAGTACAAGAAGGGTCCCTTCAAATATCTGACTGCCCCTTACACACAGTGTAAATGTAATATCACACTCTCATCTCAAAAAGCCTCCCATCTAGAATAAGACAAGCATACAAGCAAGATGTTTTAAGTGCTATAATTAAGACACAAAACACTACAGGCATTCCAAACCGAGCACTAACAGATCAGGATGTAATATGAGATGGGCTTTGGAGGAAGAATAGAATTGACATGCATATATAAAAGATGGGGCATCCCAGTTTGAGAGGTAAGGGGAAGAAGCCGTATGAACAAAGCCCCATTTGAAAAACAGCAATTAATCCCACTTGTCGAAATTGTAGGGTACAATTAAGAGCCAAACAAACTAAGCTAGCTAAAGGAACTTGGTACCATATACCAGAAGGCCTTGAGTGTTGGATTCAATGTGTCCCTCACTTGGTAGACAAAAGGAAGTAAATAAAAGAAACTGAGGGTGGGTAAATCAATAAAACAGCAAGATACCTTGGAAAGATTAATCTATCAGCTGGTATGTCAGACCAACTGAATTAGGGGAAAGAATGCAAAAGGTAACAGCAGCACTGTGAGGAAACAGGAGCCTAAGACATCCCTAAAGGACTCTATTTTATAAGACTAAGCAAAAGCCGGAATTTAATAAGAATCCAAAAGCACTAAGGCTATAACCTGGGAAGCCAACTCAGGCTTTAAGACTTGCACTCTGCTGAGCTAAGGAAAGAGATACCTCTTTGTACCACCCATCGTTTTCATGAAGACTTATGTCAAATTTTAAGAAGGCAATGATAAATGTAAACAGTGTCTAACACAGATGCTCAACAGATTATATCACTGTAGTTCATTTCACAGAAAAAAATAATCGAGAGAGAAGCCAGCTTTTTTACGAGGCTTATTAGACATAGTTGGGTCTTTTTAAAAGGCAACTTTCCCCATTTTCCCAGAATTCCATAAGCATCACAGGCTTTTACAAAAAAGGACAGCAGAAAGTATTGGGCCAGGATTCAAATCAATTAGCTCAGCCACTGGCAGACAGCAGCCATCCTAATCAGCTTCCCAGTTTCCATAAGTTCAAGAAGCACAAATTGAATTAAGATAAATATGACCCAAGGCATCAGGGGCTGGGTAGTCACAAAGTGTGCACACCCTTTCCATATACCGCGTAACAAGAAGAACAGAAAGCTTCAAATATGCAAGGCACAAAATATTTGCAATCTGAGTTCTTAAAGTACATACTGGCTTTTTTTGGGGGGGGGGGGCTGAACACCTGATTCATTCCTCGACCCCCAAACGGGGCTTCAATCCTCAACGCCCCCTCTCCTCCGCCCCTGCCACCAATATCAGTTTCCAAACTGTCCTCCCAGCCGATGGCGACCCACAGTCCTAGACCACCTTCTGTCAGAGGTAGTGGAGTTGCAGAGGTGACCTTCAGTAAACTGGGGCAGGCCGCCTTTCCCCGGGTACCGAGGCAGGAGCTCGCTGGGGAGGAGGCTCCTTCCCACAGCCGGCCCACGCAACTGTGTGCGTGAACCATTGTACAGGCGGCGGACGGTGACGCGGCTTACGGTGACGCGCCAAGTCGGACGGCCTAGTGCTATGGCTGCACGGAACTCCCAACCCTCCGCGAGGCCGGCCTCCCAACTTCTCAACCAGCGGGCAGACAGCGACGGATGCGGGGTGGCTGCGTCGGCAGCCTCACAAAACCTACCATGGGCCCAGCGGAAAACAAGGCCTCAACATTCACCCTAGCCACACTTACACTGCCCAACCGCCCAGAGACTCGAGGGGAGAACAAAACGGAGAAAATCCGAGGCCCGGGGAGAACAAAACGGAGAAAATCCGAGGCCCGGTAGAGCGTCCCTTGTTCCGGGGCCCAAAAGGAGGACAGCGCCGGCCCGGGGCCGGGTGTGCGGCGCGTGCCGCGGATCGCCAGGCGCGCCCACGAGGCACACGCGGAGG